TGTGAAAACAGGTGGAGGGGGAATCTTCCGCGGACATCCTGTCAAGAGGGAAGGGCTGCGGGTGGAGCAGCATCACAGCGAGGGAAAGAAAAGTCAGCGTTTCAGGGTGGTCAGCCCGGGAGTGAGCAAGAGGTCAGAGAAACAGTGAGAGGAGGATTCAACAACCAGGACACGCTTTGAGATTTCGACTGATGATGAGGGGGGGGCCTCAGACTCTCATGATAGGCTACCCTGTTGAGTCTTTACTCTTCCTCCTCAGTGGTCAACAAGCATAACAGTGGAAAACATTATTCAGGCGACTAAGGCTTGAAGTAATGAGTATGACTACTCCTCTTCGTCTCATGGTAAATCCAAAATGAGGCTGAGTTACGATTACCAATAAGGCGACTCAATGTTGGAAATCATGCCATCAAAACAGAGTCCATGATTTAAGCAGTCGAGGTCTGTTACACTGACTGTCTTTTCAAAAACGTAGATTTGTACTGTGATTTCAGAGAGACGAAGAAGTAGTACCAGACGGCTAGTAAGCTATCTGTCGTAACCTCTGAGAGATGAAGTAAATTTTAGAGTTTTTGGGTTGGATCGAGTGTCTTTCATGTGCTTCTAACTCAGTGAGTCCATGTGACACAAAATCGTAATTTACGTACAAAACTGTGGACATTGTAGGAATTTATAAACTTCTCCGGACAAGGCTTGTAGTATTTATTTTGACTACTTCTCTTTGTCTCACAGTAAATCCAAAATCAGGCTGAGTTCAGATTACCAATAAGGCGACTCAACGTTGGAAATCATGCCACCGAAACAAAGTCCATGTTTTAAGCAATATAAGTCTGTCTTTTCGAAAACGTAGATTTTAATTGAATACTGAAAATGAGCAAAAGGTAGTACTGTGATTTCAGAACGACGAAGAAGAAGTACCAGACGGCTAGTAAGCTATCTGTAGTACCCTCTGAGAGATGATTTAGCACTTTTGAAAACTGACATTCTGGTTCATCGTAGGGTGATTATATTCTGACTTCCTGAAAAAAGAAGACACAACTATGCATGGGCAGAGTCACTGAGTCAAACAAAGTAAATTTTGAGTTTTCCAGGTCGGATTGAATGTATTTCACACGCTTCTAACTCGAAAAAACTCGAAAAAACGAAACTTGCGTGAAAAACCATGGACATTGAAGGATTTTCTAAACTTCCCCGGACAAAGCTTGACAAACCTGGACAGCCCCCTAAAAAGAGGACATGTTCGGACGTACGGTCACCCAAGTTTATTATGAATACTGTAGCCGATAATGTGGCAAGTAAAATTCACTTTAGCGTGTCCTAAAAGAAGCAGTAAGTCAAGTCCGATCATTTGTCATCTAAACTTATCTAAATAACATTTATAGTATAAGTCTTCGGTGTTGCCTTGTTGTAAAAGCTCTTACACTGCAGCGCTTTAAAACAGACATTTGATCTGAACCCCGAGTGGCGGTCTGTTTTGTCTGTAAAAAATTCACACACATACACATTCATTCACACACACAGAGATAGTGCTGAATCATGCCAAAAAGGCTATTTGATCGGCGTCAAACCCGGGAGAGGTGACGTCCCATCCGACGGGATTCACACGCTCCCCGCTCTCCGGCACAAAAGGGCAGAACAACAATATTATGGTGTCCACTGAGTGCCTACCCCCCAGTAAAAACATTTCTGTGAGAGTGGGCTTGACCTACCTCGTCTCTCGTATAAAAACACAAAGCCGAGTGTATTCCGACAGCTGCTGCCCGGGTGCCCTGTGGAGAACAGAAGGAGAGCTTTGAAGATCTTGACCTTCTGGAACAATAAAACGCAATCATCAAACACTCTCCTGAGACAGACTGCTGACCCACAGATCCAAGTGTCTGCTTGAGATAATTCATATTAAACTGTAGGGATCGCTGTGTCAGTTTGTGTGTGTGTGTTTGATGCTTGCAGGGGAGCAGATGATGTAGACCTGTAGCTCAAGCACTAACAACATGTGGAGTAGAGTTTACCACAGCTATCTGAGCGTGAATCACACCACCTGCACCTAAACGTTGACATGCCCGATACTCAAAACAAGGCTAAGTTTAGCACGACTCATACCTTTGAATCACTCAGGAAGTTTAACTCTTAGCTCATCCAGACTAAAAGCCTCATAATGACTCAAACTGATGCAAATAACATCATGCTGAAGCGTCATCACAACAGCAGCAGACTTTTTAGGTTGTAAGGATTTCATTAGCAGGAATAGGATCCTATTCTTTATGTGGACTTTGTCATTACTCTGAGTAAAGGGAGAGTAAAAGCGCATTTAAAGGACAAGTTTTGCATTATTTGGACTTTTCTTGGTCACTGTTTTCTATGCGAAACCCCAATGGCACTTGATATTGTTCAGCGACAGTAAAACCGGTACTTTTATCTGTCTTATAATCAAGCAACTCTGTATTAGCTGTGGCTCAAATTAAGAAAAGACAAGACCAGAGTGTTCCAACATGTTTCTCCAGATTTTACCGCTAAGAACATCCATTTCTTATCATTGTGCTCTCCGTGCATCGCTAGTCCTTTGACTGAACCCTCTTTAGTAAAGACTTGGTTCATAAAGTGATCGTTTCAGAGGCTTTTATTTGGACATTTTCGCAGTGTTGCGATAAGGTTGCTGTATATTTTTTCATTAAATAACATGCTCAAATTTCAAAATTAAACCTCCCGGAGGAATTTTTGTTTTGTATCCATTTTGGCGCCCTCTGTGGACAAAGCAGTCATCGTCTGTTTTGTTGCCTGCATATTCAAATGGTGTTTTTTTTTGGCAAAAAGTCTAATTGAGCTGACTTTTGACAGTCAGATGTAGCTTTCATTGGGAATATTCAAAATAGAAAATGTAAAACAAGGCCATGTTCTTAGCTAACAGACTGACACCTATAGGCATTAAAAATCATCCTAGACTTCAATATAGTTTTCAGTCTATTTCATTGACGTCAAAAAACTTCCTATGGTAGCTTTAAGCACATGCCTTATTAGGTCAATCACAAGTTAAGAGAATGACTGAAAACATTCAAAAGAAAGTTTAGAAAGTACAACGAATCAGAAAAATTCTGTCCGTGTCCGTCCATCTTTTACTGGCAATTTGCACCACATCGGGAATGGCTATGAAAAGGCCATATCCTCCGATCATAGCTGATCGTAAACGTTCAAGTTAATGTGTCAATTTTCACCGTCTTCTTTCCGTTCCCCTGCGGATCGCTGGACTCAGCAGCTGATCACAAGAGTTCTATTTTTCCGGACACTGGAGCATGGCGGATAAATTCAGCACAGATAAATCCGTGCTAGAAAGGAAGTCGGGCACAGACACAAAATAAAACATCCAGCTTCTTTTCAAAATAAAACACTCCATGTTTCAGGCGGATCACACCATGCAAACAGGTGGGGATGAACAAGTGAAAGGTTCATAGGCAGGATTACATCCTGATGACACCATGGATGAGAAGATGCTGATTTTATAAATTAGAAGTAGATTTCCTCCTCTGGAAGGACACAATCTACTGCTTATATGGTTAGCCTAGTATGTGGCTAAAGACAACTTGTTATCGTGCGATTGCACGTGAATCCATGGGTTCTTGTGAGTTCTTGCGATTCATGCTGTCCGTAATCTGCCACGAAATTCGCCTCACAAATGGGTCCGGTAGGAATTGGCATTGGGCGAAAATCGTCGCCATTCCGGATGCGGTGGAAACCCCGGGTAAGAGGGCTGCTACAGCTAGCTTACCACCTGCTGCTACTTCTTCTTCATCTTCTTTTTCACTTATGTCCTCTACAATGAACTTAAGACCTAAATTATCATCAATACTTGTATGTTTCAAAAGCCATAGATCAGAAGATGATGTCTAACAGGTTGTTTTGAATTCACAGGGGGACACAGGGGTGGCCCTGAGGTGGAGGAAGAAAAACTTTGTCACGGCCATGGACATGCCACAGTGCAACACTAAAACATGGTAGGTCTCTAAAATCTTAGTCCGAGTAAGTACAACAGAAACCTAAAACATTAGCAGAGCAGCTGCTGTTACAAAAATCATGTGTCTTACAATAATCAAAAACTAGTGCTGCTGTTTCTCTCACGATGTGAAAAAAAAACAGGCTTTAATCTTACGTAACCTTATATTAGTATATCTGGCTTAAGGTTCTGCAGGGCAGAGATGCCAGCTGGGTTCTCTCGCTCATTGCGCAGGGGTCCACAGGCCCCCTGTCTCTGTCCACATGTTCATCTTTACAGGGCACATTAAAGGAAGTGGCGTTGACAGCTTAGATTTGAGGTCAGAAGGGGGCCAGGGGTCAAGCACTTCCTGCTGACATGAAAGCACATCCAAGCACACCTTGCTCTTGGTATCTGTCGTCCGCCCCCCTGACCATCTGTACCTACATAATCTGGGGCTCATCGGGCCCAAACAAAAGCCATGTGTTAATTACCTTTGAAGGTGTAATGACTTCAGGGCCACAGCCGATCTTCATCTGGTTTCAAAGCGAGGGCCGGAGAACAGGTTACGCTTCAGACACGTTACAGTTGTCCTTTCCCCTACCTGCTCGGCGTGCTTTTATTTCAGAGGGTTAACCGAGCCGTCTTCTTCTCGCCCAGGAGTTAAACCCTCTCCTGTGTTGAATCCGGGGGTACGAGCTGCAGAACTTTCACTTTTGTGGACTTTTAAATGAGTAAATTAAGGAGAAAGTTCTGACACACGAGAATTAGACCTACACCTGTCAGCCAGATGTGACGGCTTTCACTCTGAGGAAGTTTTACGTTGTTCTCCTGATGTTTCGCCTTAATTGTGTTTGTCGTCCTCACTTTGGAAACTTATTATCCGGTATTAGAAGTAGATTTATCTTTATCAATCATTTTCTCATTTTGCAGACCTACAGGGAAGAGAAAAATGTGGGATTACTCATCGATTGACTAATCAGGTCTTTACAGTTCTCGATGACGCCTGCTTTTTCAGGGTGTCTAAAAGGAAGCCTCGTCTCCAGATTCCAGGGTCGGGAATTATAAACAGATCAAAACCAGATAGCTTAAAAGGTGCTGGTAGCGATCTGCTCATTAGTCATCACAAAAACAAGCTGATGCGTCTCGATGACGGCCCCTCTCGTGCTCTTTGTGAGTAAAGCCTGAGTAACACTTTCTTCTCGCCACAGATGACCGCCCTCTTCCTGCCACTAGAGAAAGGGAAGCGGGCCCACAACAGATACCTTACATTGTTTCGAATCAGTGTTTCCACTCATAAGTAAAGATGATATCTTTTTCAGGGAGACGCCCAGATTACAAGGGTTTAGGTGGCGAATCACTCTACGCTGGTTAGTTTGGTTTATATCAGTCCTTGAATCAAATTAGATCACACGATGGTAATTACACCTGCAAGTGTTCGCTAAAGTTTGCATCTGAATACATGAAAGAGCGGCGTGGACTTTGCCGCCACATCACTGACACTGTCAATCCCACTCCAGCCTCTTGAAGGTATGCAGTCATCCTCTCTGCTGAGAATGAGCAAACACTTTCTAATCCTTTGAAATGTTCAGTTCTCTGTTTACTGTCTTTTTATTAAGGTGGGGTTGTGTGAGGCGCTCGCCACTCGTGGAGCAGTAGGCTATCAGCAGCTGCAGGCGAGATCATCCCTGCAACGGAATTCAGCTTATTCCAAGAAACACTGTCGATGCTCTGCTTGGGAAAGTTTCAGCTCCGTTCTTTGCTATCAGAAAGCCGTTTAGGTTTCGCACCACTCTTGAATGGTCAGTTATATCAAAATTCATGATTACGATTAAGTCTATCGACATCGAAGTCTAAAACTTAAGAACTCTTAAAAGCTCTTTTTTTAAAAACTGAAAATAAATAAGAATTAAAAAAATATATATTTATATATATGTTATTAGCTTTGACTTAACTAAAACTGGACGTCAGACCTTCTCTTATAGATAGATAGATAGATAGATAGATAGATAGATAGATAGATAGATAGATAGATAGATAGATAGATAGATAGATAGATAGATACTTTAATCACAGGCTGTACATCCATCATGTCATCTAGCCTTTTCAAGCTTTTATATTTATAATATCAAGAATTAGGCCATGTAGAGTCTCATTTATCCAGGTCATGGTTTTCTAGAAATCTCCAAAATCTGGCAACTGGACTGTGTAGAGTTGAGAAGACGTTTTGGGGGGAGCTGGTATTTTATCTTACTGGAGGAGGGAAAACAACGACTAGGAGGAGTTGGAGTGAATGGGTCAACCCCCACCAGCTGTTTTAGAAGTGAAGAAGCTTCTTGGATAAGCGGCGAAACGTCTTCTCAACTCTACAAAGTCCAGTTGCCAGATTTTGGAGATTTCTAGAAAATCAAGAATTGGGATTTTATTCTATTACGACATGGACCGATGTTACTGACTAGCCTTGCGAGTGTTTGCTTGTTCGTCATCCCTACTCCGTCCCTTTGCTTTTCAGGCGCAAATTCAGTCACATACAGACTCACCTGCCTCCTCCTCCTCCAGCCAAATTTCCAGTTGAAATTAAAACCTGATGAATCAACTAGTTCTAATCTAAGATGGGCTGGTGAGTCAAAGAGACGCAAAAGTTTCAAAATTCACGGGGCAAAAGTCACAAAGAAGATCCAATTCATTGACTGATGCTCTGATTGGACGTTTTGATGTGAAATGTGAAATAATGAGAATTATCTAAATAGAGTAGACACGAACATCAACATTACTGTGTGGGAGAGAGTTTCTCAAAATGAGCTGGTCCAGTCTGCAGAAGCTGGTAGCCTAGCTTCATTTTCAGTTCTCGAGGCCAAACTGACTGGGTTCCTTTTCTGGGTGACACCACTCAAAAAAGAAAAATCACTTTTATCTTTAACAAAAAGTCCTGTATGCTTCCTCTGACCCACAGGTGTAGACAAACAGCAGTCTGGTGGGCAGAGAGGAAACTCTCAGCCAAAGAAGTTGGATATAAATATCCACTTTATAAGACAGTTTCCTCCAAAAGCCAACGCTTCACGTCCTACCTTGTAATTTATCACTGCTCTCTCTGTCTTATAGGAAGAAAATCAAAGGACGGGAAATATCCAGATCAAAGATTGCCATGTGTAAAGTTTCTTTTATTTTCCCTCATTATTTCTGAACTATATGGGAATCTTTCTAAACACACTGATCTCGTCTTCAGAAACAACCACTTGCTGAACAACGCCTGAGTAAATTTTAAAGCAAAAGCCTGGCTGTAATGACGCTAAATGCACTGTTAACTTACACACCAGCTCTCAGATGTGTGCTCCTTTTAGTTTGAGACTAAGGGTGTAAAGGCGGGGATGATGATTTCAGATTCCTGGGAGAAAATTCCCAGGCCTGGAAGAGCCCGTGGAAAGTAATCAAGTAGCAGAGTGATGTCATTGTGATGAAAGGCAGCCTGTCAGACAGTTGGCGACTATGGGTGCTCTTTGGCATGGGCCGCAGCCCGCTATACACCAAAATATGACATCAAAGCAGGTACCCGGCCAGGCCAAGAGGCTGGCACTGATCATTGTCTTCTTTGATTACAGAAGCTTCATCTTCTCGCTGGGAGGATAAAAGAAAACGGCTGCTTGGTGTTAAGAGAGTGTCAAAAATAATGAGGCACATGCCATGCGCTAATGGCGTCCCAGTGGTTCAGTGGATGGGAGCGCATACCGCTGATACTCACAACATGGTGGGACCATTTCCCAGAGTGGGTTTAAGTCTAGTCCTCGACTGTGGGGTGTTCTAGTGGATCTTTCCAGTAAATCTCGGTCTTAAACCCTGTCTTAAAAACTGGCACTGGGAGTGTTGACCTAACATCAGATTCATGTTGCACGTCCTCTGTTGTTGAAAAGTGAGGTCAGGGTGGAAGTGTATGAAAGGGGAGCGACTGGCAACGAAAACCGAGGAAACTCCAGCACAGACCAGATTAAAAGGCCCAGATTTAAAAAGAGAGAATTTAATGTGTTTACAACTTGCATTATTTCTTTACTCTTCTCAAGTGTGCAGGAGTAAACTATCTTAAAACTCACTGGTTTTGGTTAAACTGAGGCATAATGAGCCATATTCCCACAGCAGCCATCTTCTTGTGCCTCAAACCGAAAACATACAGGACCCGTATTGAGCATGTTCCATATTTGCTCACAACAGGTTGTTTTGCCTTTCTGTGCTCTATTTCCTGCTAATTTCGATATAATTCAGTGACCGTCGAACCTCTACTAGCAGTCAAAAGTCCTGTTGGTGTCCACATGGATCAGGGATTGACCATTGGATGCTTCTGTGTTACTGATAAATCCATGACATATCTGCACAAACTGATACACAGTCGGGAGTTCGCATATGGTGTTTTATTTTGAAATACCAGATGATATCCGCAGTTTTCATGGTTGACTTCCTGTCTAGGACCATCCTTTCTGTGTGGATGGACACGCATTGGAAGCGTAGAGCAGCAAAAATAGACTTGTTGCAGTGCTGCTCTTGATACGATGCTGCGATGGCGCTGATACGTGTCCTGTATGCTTTGCTGCATTGGTTGGTATGGCAACCTATTTGCTGCGTGATACGCGACACTGCTGTCACGCTCTAAATACACATCCTGTATGTTTTAGCCTTCGCTGTCATCAGTGAAGCATCATGGTTGTACCTCTGAACCGTAGTCAGGTGGCAGGATGTGAAACAAGACCGAGGCTTCTACTTCTCATGTTGAAGGGTTCATCCCCTTTACATTACGTAGTCTGAAATCCACATTGACGTCTTTTCATGACTCACAGAAGCAAACAAAACTATCAGCGACAATTCTGACGATTTTCATATGAGGGTTTTTAATGCCTGGAACCACAGCAGCAAAAGAAATATTTTTTTTACTTTTTTAACCGTCAAAACTCAGAATAGGATTTTTCGTTCGCGCATACATGTCGAAAAGAAAATAGATCCCAAACTGTTTTATCCAGGTGTGATACTCCGACAATGAGAAGTTCGATTTAGTGCCATCTCAGTTTGACAGAGGTGTGACGTATTGTAGTTGTTTGCCAGGTGACTAACCCCTTCGTTGGTTCGAGTCAGCAGTCATCTATACGCTTCGTCATGCCTCTCCAGAAACCAATTAGTCTGTGTTTTTATACAGTCTACTCTCCTTCCCTTCAAATTTATGAGACAACAATAAAAACAAGACATTTTTAAGCATAATTGCAATTCCCAACCCTTCCTTTGGAGATTTTTTAAGGTCCTCTGTCTCCAAAACAACTCTTACATAATTGAATAATGACCGTAGTTAACGACAGGGTGTGGACTTCCCTGTAAAGACTACCAGGTTAAAGGACAGAAAATGAATAATGTGTTGTAGCTCTCCTATCATGACCTGTAATAAGGGCTTTTCCATGTCCTTTGGCATATCTGCGGCATAAATAAACATTTCCGAGACAAAAGAGCGTGATTCTGCTGCTGTCTCTGTGGAGATGAGCATAAGAGCAGGGGAAGGAGAGGCCTGTCGCCTCTCTGATGGTAATAATAGCGGGTTTTAAATGGTAATTGCTCTCTGCTCCCTCCTCTGTCTACCTGGAAGAGGGCATTGCACGGGGTGATTCAAGCACCAGGCATGAATGGAAAACTCCTGGAGGAAGACCGCACACTCACGCGCTGATACCTCCAAAACAACAGGTCCACCACCCTCGTGCTGCTGCTGCGCGGCAACACATGCAAGCAAACATGCATGTGCACAAGCAGGCACGGATGTCCATCCAGCCCAGAATGAATGACAGAAGTGTTTACAGGCAATAGCAGCTATTTGGCGACCATCATGCAGATAAAAGATGAACAACAAACAGCTGACCTGTCAGAAGAGCTATCTGATTACCCCTCGGTGCCAGAGAGACCCCAATGCAAGCCGTCCTATCTTGAAAGAGTTCATTTTTATCAAACAGGGCATCATCTGTAACCAATAGACGGCCTCTTCTTACGAAATGAGAGCCTGCTCGACAGATGTCTCCTGCCTCTCTTACTCTCTTTCTCTCCCCAGTTTAGGTCCACGTCTTCGATGGCACTTCTCAACTCGACTCGGGTCGGGATCGAGGTTGTTTACCGATTTCTCTGGGTAATATCAGGAACATGTGCCGGGGGTACATGAAAGAGACTCTGCAGTGTGTTAACACCCCCCAAAAAAAACCTCTGAACATGTTTGTCTGGGGGGTTTTAAACAATGGTTCCGACGTGAAATTAAGGTGTCACGCTTCCTGAGGTTTGTTTTGAGGTGATACAGAACAGAAGCTGAAGGATGAAATGTTTTCAGAGGGGTGGAGAGCCTGAGGTGTCAAAACTGTTTAACAATGAAATCAGATGTAGTTATTGATGTCAATGTCATTAAAACGGAGCAGAAAGATGAAAAGATCTAAATAAAAAGATATTAATATTATGCACTAGGGCTGTCCCGATACGATATTGATATCGGAAATCAGTCCGATATCAGCCAAAAAAATATAGGATTATATCTAAAAACCTCTGATATCAGCACTCCGATACAAGCAGTCCATTCCAGACTCCGGATCCAGCATGCAGAGCCCATGTGACCACAACAACAGCGTGCACTAAGCTACTAATAAAGTAGTAAGGAGTAGGAGTGATGTCGGCCGTGGGACAGTAGTTTCCATTAAAAAGACGTTGCAGCTGAGTGCAAAACTTGTCATGCACTTGTCATGAAGTTTGTGCCAACATCGGATCAATATCAAAATCGGCTGATACTGAAGGCTACAATATCGGTATCGTATCGGAAGTAAAAAAGTTGTATCGGGACTCTCCTATTACGCACATAGAAAAAAAGTTCCTTATCTTGTGGCCACATGATATTATCCTGCTTGCAGAGGATGCATCCATTGTGCGCACAAGTTTATTATCCTGTGGTCATCTTGCATCTACTATAAAGTTATTTTGAGGTTGCAAGTAAACATCTTGTGTGCGCAAGATAACTTTTACAAATGTGATCATGATGTATGCAAAGTTATTGTCTCGCCAAAACAAGTCGACAATCTTTTGCGCACATGGTTTGTGGGAACATGTCATTATCTTGTGGAGATTATATTATACGCACACAAGTTATCATTTTGTGCGCACAGATGACAAATTGTGCATCACTTGTTCCCCCAAGATGAGAAATTGAGTGCACAAGATGCACACTTTTTTTATCTCTACAAGATTCTCATATTGTGCGCACAAGTTGTTTTTCTAGAACTCCAGCAGTCAGATACAATAGTACACAAAATCTCTGGAGGTTTTGACAACTTCTTAAGTAACTCCCACTACCTGAGACCTCCTCCTTACATTCGCAATTCCCTTTTCACTCTGGCTTTTAGCAGCTTTCCACACTTAAACACTTTGTGGCATTAAACCACTAAGTCTCGGGCTTTGCTGTTGTGACCTTTATGGGATTTAGAGCTGCAGTGGAGTCCCACAACCTGATATCATATGTTTAAAGCTGGCACTGTGTGTACTTTGCGTTCTCCGTGTAGGAGAGGGTGGCAATTTAAAGGAATTTCACAAAAGTCTTCTATGAAATATAAAAGTTTTATAGATGGTGATCTCTCCTTTGTTCTTCCAATGAGGACCTCCACCTGTTTCTGATGATATGAGCCAGAGCCTGTCCCTTTCAAGAGGCTGATCCCTCCTGATCTCTTTGATGTAACCTGACCTAACAGTTCCAACTAGCAGGATTTGATGATCACGGATGGACTTTCGACAACAGCATGTGCAAATCAAAACTAACAGGCAGGGGAGACGGACAACAGCGATGTGTGAGCAGAACTGGCAGGCCGCGCAGACAGGGAGCGCTCACAGAGCTATGATGTGTCTCAACGCCAGGCAGGCAACGGTCACATGATCAATGCTGCCAGCCCAGACTTAAGCAGTAAAACCTGTGGATCTGTGAGGGCACATGCAACTGATCGGAGATGAAAGACAGGCTTTGACTTTCACAGGAGGCCTGGAGTCAGGGTGGGGGCTAAGGGGGCTACAGGAGCTATGGGGGCACTTCTGAGGGACTGCCATCAGAACAGCTGGGTCATTTTCAAATGACCTAAATCTAGGATTAATCCATTTGGACTTGCATGGTTAAATTTGTTCCTATGCTACACAGAGGCGATGGGAGAGAAAGAAAAAAGGACAGAGAGAATTACCAGTGAAAGCCAGAAAGGCTTAGCGCTCGGAGTTCAAACAAGGTGCACAGTAGAGAACAAACCTCCGTGCACCGACGGTAGCAGAGCTCACTTGTTTCTAACTCCTGCCTCTTACCGTTCAACGCAGAACCCTCCATCACTCACCGATTCCTCAAACGTAGATCACTGCAGCTCACTCCTCTCCCTCACTTTGGTCAGAGGATGTTTTTGACACACCGGCGGGGCATCTCTTCATGTGTCAGAGGCCGGCGTCCATCTGCGAGTGATTTGAGGGGTACATTTCTGGGGATGACGTGTGATAAAACAGGGAGGTATGGGTCAAAGTGACTAGACTCAATCTGTGACAGAGCCTCTCCTCTTGGGCCCTACCACATGTTTTAATCTATACAAGCATCTGTTTGAAGTTCCCAATGAATACCATCAGTCCTGCCGGTGACTTCATATCCATCTTACCTGGCTCAGAGCAGTTCAACATCCTGGAGGCACACGGATTAACCGCGAGGATAGACTTTATTTTTCTGACAGGGTGTGAAGCAGATTTACAGTTTTTCAGTTGTTGTGTCCATGGCACACATGAGAACTGTCTAAAACAGGCCTGTTTCATTACTCTTTAAGAAGGGCCAGATTTGAAAAGAGAACTGTCTGTAAACTCCTTTGTTCCCACCTCAGTCAAAGTTTCTTGAGTGATAATGTCATGATGTTCTTGTCTGCACTGTGCAGATCTTGTGCAATATGTATCATGTGCAAGTCATAACCTTTGTGGGTTTTTTCTGTGCTAAGTGTTTCTCTGTGTTGTAAGATTTAAGTGAATTTGTTTATTGAAATCTACTGGAGACACTTTAGTGTACCATATTGCATCATATCTCATCCTATCCAATCACTTTGTCTTGCAATGAATCATGAGGCATTGTTTTGTACACCTAGCTTATTGTATCTTATCATAGGTATCCTATTCTATCATATTCTATCCTACTGTATTGTATCGCATTTTATCATATTGCATTGCACTGTGTCACATGGTTTTGTGAGGAATAACTTTGTATTCCAGCTTATCGTATCATATTGTATCATATTGTATCATGTCATATCATAACATATTGTATCACATCATATCATATTGTATCATTTTGTATCGTATTGTATTGTATTGTATCGTATTGCATCGTATTGCATCTTGTCAAATTGTATCATATTGTATCGTATCAAATCCAATCCTATTATATTGTAACATATCATACTGTATCATATCGTATTGTATCCTGTCATATTGTGTCATATTGTATTATATTGTATCATATCGTATTGTATCGTATCATATTGTATTGTATCATAATGTATCATGTCTTATCATATTGTATATAATGTATCATATCATATTGTGTTGTATTGTGTCTTTTTGTATCATATCATATAGTATCATATCGAATTGTATCCTGTTGTATCTAACATATTGTATCATATATCATACTGTATCATATCTTATTGTATTGTGTCATATCATGTCATATCATATAACATCATATGGTATCCTGTCGTATCATGTTATATTGTATCATATCGTATCATATTATGTCGTATTGTGCCCTATTGTATCATATCTTATCGTATCCTGTCGTATTGTGTCATATTGTATCATATCATATTGTGTCGTTTCGTATCATATTGTATTGTACTGTGTCTTATCGTATCGTATCATATTGTATCATTTGGTATCCTGTCGTATTGTGTCATATTGTATCATATTGTATCATATCATATCGTATCATATTGTATTGTATTGTGTCGTATCATATCATATGGTATTGTATCACATTGTATCATATGGTATCATATTGTATTATGTTGTATCTTATATATTGTATCATAACATATCGTATCATATTGTCTCATATCTCATTGTATCATATTTTATCATATCTTATCAGAGTTCTCTGATATGAACGACATTGTATCTCTCTTGCTTTGGTGGAATTTTCTAATTTTTGTCCTGAGTGTCACATTAGTTGATCCTGACATCATGTTCGATTTTTACTTGGGGCCTAGTAGGAAAAGGATCATGTAAAGTTGGGAGAAAAATGTCTGTTGTGTTGAAAGATAACAGCGATCAAGTATTTCAAAGTTGTAAAGTTGCAATGCCCAATCCCTGGAAATGAAACTGAACCGCGTTAGTCTGTTTCACATGTTGAGAATGAGCTCAATCAAAGACAAAAAACCAGCATGAAGTGCTACCTCGATGAAAAATCCCTCTCAGCCTGTGGGCTACACTTGAACATCAGTGTGTCCTCAAAATGAGAGGCTGTTGGAGGGAAGCCTACCTCAACCGTAACAAGGCATTCCTGTGTATAAAAGCCGGCGTCCCATCAGGATGCTCTGCTCGACTTCAAATATACAGTAGAGTAGGAAAGTTTGGAAGAGACTGAAGTGGGAGGGAGGAGGAGGGGAGAGGAGGGGGGAGAGAAAGAGTGATGGTTGCTTTGATCTTTGGAGGCAGACTGGATTAAAAAAACAGTGTCCAAGTCCTTCTTTTGAAACCTTAAGAAAACATGAGTAAAAGTCAGAACTGAAGGGGATGCTTTAAGAGGTGTGTTTTTTTTTTCTTTCACTATAAGACGAACAGTTTTTGAAAAATATCTCACTTTTCAGTATGTTTAAAAAAGTGAAATGATGATAAAAGCAGTAAATAAAAAGAGTTACCTCTATCTAAGCAGAGATTTCCAGGCCTAATATTGTTGTTTCTCTGCGTGAGTTTTGATCATGTTTTGTTTTTCCCACTTGATTTTCAGACAAGTGTGTAACAAGATGGTATTCTCACTTCATAAATTTGTGGTGGAATGGGAAATGGGCATTTCAAGGCCAATAAAAGCCACCACATCAAATAAAACTTCGCGGATCAAAAGAACCAACGCATGGACATTTTTTTCCCTCTATAAATTAAAAACGGGGGCAGTCTGCCACGCTTGATCATGCCCCGAGTCCTGCCCCCGCTGCTCTGATTGGCTGGACGGACACACAAGGGGGGAAAGTTTGAATAAAATACAAGAGCATGGCATGAGTGTTGTCGTTCAAGCTTGTGCGCTTGGTGCAGCAGCGCTTGAGTCGGAGTGGAGAGATTGGCACATAGTTGCGAGCGCATTCTTGGGAAGTTTTTAAAAACAGTTCAGATGCCTTTTACTGGTTTCAAAGTACCTCTGATTTAGTTCAAACTTGATTTATTCGTCTTCAGGAGCGGTGACAAGTGTCGTGGCGTCCTTTGAACCGTGCGTAATTGTCCTTCCAGGAAGATTTTCTGCTCCCCAGACGAGACTTTACATTTGGAGAAAGGACATTGAAGACGAGAATATAGGATGACAGAGATCAGAATGGTTTTATCAGTGCTGCTGCTGATGCTCATGCACTCCGGAGCTCTTTGCGCACGGAGGTTCCGGGGTGGCCGGAACCCGCAACCGCGACGCGCACCACCTTCTCCCACGTACCGGGCGGAACGGGTTGACACCACGGAGAGCTTCCCTCTGGATTTCACCGCCGTGGAGGAGAACATGGATAACTTCATGACACAGGTGAAGAACCTCGCGCAGTCCCTCTACCCGTGCTCGGCACAGAAGCTCGACTATGACATGAAGCTGAACTTTTTGGAGAATACATCAGTCACCTGCAACGACGGGAGCTCCGCAGGGTATGTAGCCTCTAAACTTCGAAATAAGGTGTTGATGAAGTCTTTTCCTGAATGATTGGATCAGCGACAGGTCATCGGCAGGGTCAGTTTCGCAGCAGTGCACCCTGGAGATTGTAGGAATTGTGATTTTGCTTGAGTGTGGCGCACCCCGTCTTACTGGTCCCCCCTGCAACCCGAAATAACCCACATGTATCTCGCCTGAGGACAACCATGCTTGTCCCAGAAGAGAAGAGACACGCTTTCTAAAACGAAGCTATGGTTTGTTGCAAATTTAACGAATCGGTTGTGAAGAACTCAAAATTAAGTAAAAAGCCAAAATAAATACTTAAAATACAAAAATAATAGTAATTCTTGGATACATTCAACAGGAATCAAAGTCCTGGGCCCTGAGTCCTGGATAAGGTTCACTCAGGATAAGATAGACAGCTGCTTTGCGTCAGCGGAGCGTGAAATTTGCGGATAGCCACATGGCCTATGCTTCATTTCCTTTGCCTCAAATTAGAATGCAGGATTTGCTCTGCAGAAAGTTTAGCTTTAAAGTTCGCAGACCCCCGCCCATCTCTCTCTCTGTCTGCGTCTCCCTGATGATTGCGCAAAGTGCGTAAACTTTTAGATTTACAGCCTTGTATGTTTCTACTCAGCTTAGCTACTGTAACGCGTGCGCAATTTGCCATGGAACAAATCGTTTCTCGATTTTCTGGCAATCTCCACAGTTGTTTGCAATTCACTTTGGCGTTGTTGATCAAAAGACCGTTTGGCATTAAGCCTGTTAAGCATATTAATGTCAGACAGATCCACAGTGTTTCCTATTTATTTAATGCATACATGATGCACAGACTCTGATGCTTATAGGTTTTCAAAACTACTTTTTTCTTTTACTGCTTCTACAAAAAGCAAATGGTATTTTTCAAACCATGCATGAGTTTATTTGTTTTGATCTGAGCCCAGGAAACAAAAGGCACTTGAGCATAAAACATGATATTCTGCATGATCTGAGTAAAATTTCCAGAACAAAGTGTCCCTCAGTTAGAGATTTGCTGTTTTATTGCATGCACTTAATGTAGCCGCACTGAAAAGCAACATGGACACATTGTAAGTTCTATTATTTGCAGATGCTACAAAAGTCTAAATGCTTTCTAAATAGAGGTTGAAATGACTATCTGGCGTTTTGCATTTAACCCCCTAACCAGTCCAGTGATGGACAGCCTGGACTGAAATGGTTTTGCTTTACATCTCTTTATGGATTTACCCTCCTGTATAATTCCCACAAAGTGGTAGAAAGAGCTGTCTGTAAAGCCCTGAGCTCTTTAAGGACGCGGCGCAGAGGGACAGTTACTGGCAGATGGCCGTTTCATTCACCGCTGGGGCTGTTGTCAGTTGAGATGTTAATCCATCAACTACAAAGAGCATTTTTTTTCCAAAGAGGTGTTGTTGCAGTTGGAGACAAACAAGGATGCAAACTGTGTGATTCATCTCCCGGTGTGTTGCACTTGTCAGAGCGCAGTGGGTTTTGATGCAGAGCTCTACAATCTCGGTTTGTTGAACATGCCAAACCCGTTGTTGTTTGGAAGTTTTGAGTAAAGTGCTCCATCCCCCTCCTGCATCATTGACTGTGGTTTACAATAATAGTACAAGACACTAACTGCAGCCAAAGTGTGATTCAGTGTCTGACAAACAGCTCAGAGCCTCAGCCAAGTCTGTTTTCTTTAAAGTCACTGAAATGTTTTTGGCGTACTCTCGAGCTTAATCACCGGTTAAGTCCAGTGATTGATCATCACAGAAGCACAATTTAAGTGTCTTTTTTTTCTGCTTTACAACCACACTGTTCAAAAATTTGACTGATGTCATTTTTTAACAATCCTGAAAAAAAAAGGAGATGAATCTGACGTGAGATGTGAGTGTACTCTGCAGCAATGCCCTCTTCTGGGCTGATAACACACAGCACATTTCACCTCAACTTCTTCACCTCTTGACCAGGATGCATTAAAAGTTCACTCTGCACATTATTTCATCCAACCTCTTATCAGCCTCTGTGATTTTTATCCACGCTTCTGTGAGGACACCGCTGAGGAATGATGAGCTCAGAGCTGCAGAGACACCATGACGGTAGATAGTTGAACATTAAACACGAGGACTGGCACCTACAGTACAAACAGGATAGGGGACAGGGTGATGTTTATCAGCTCCCTGCATGCAAACTGTACACACGGCCTCATTGTCCGATTTTTGTTGGCAGGGTTTCACTTTTTTGCCGTTTCTGTCACCTTTTTCCAGATCAGCGAAGTAACAGGATGTACAATCAGATTGAAGTTTTGATGACGTATGTGTTTATAGTTTACGCTTGGATACCATCTCTGGTGGTAGAAACAGTGGAGGGTTTTATCTCATCCTTTCTGAAGACATCAAAATCAAGAAATCTTGCTTGATTTATGTCTTCAATAAAAAATCAGCCTCATATACCTGCTGTGGTGCACTGAGTTTGTCTTCTTTTCTCTCTTTTAGGTACTATCTGAAGGAATCTCGAGGCAGCAGACGGTGGCTGATATTCTTAGAAGGTCTGTCTGCCGCTCTTACGTAATTTCATTCATTTTTGTGCTTATATTATCGTCGAATTATTTGCGATATCTGAACCGTGTTGTGTTTTTTCCACTAGGTGGCTGGTACTGCTTCAACAAAGAGAACTGTGACAGCCGATATGAGACCATGAGGAGACTGATGAGCTCATCCAAATGGCCCCAGACTAAAACAGGTGAGTTTGGAGAGTCGCTTCATCTCCGAGCATGACCCCCCTAATAAGGTAAAAAAAAAGTACCCAGATCCCCCCCCCTGTAATGTCTCGGTAATTAAAAGGATCGGATGTATCAGTGCTCATCTGCTGTGTTATTGCAACCGACACCCCGTCATAATGTAGCTGCGGTGTAGGGCTACCTGGCGCCCGCTGCTGTAGGAACAGAGACGCCTCCCTCTCTCATTGCGGCGTAATAACTGTAATCCATGTGGTAATGATGATGAGGAAGAGGAGGATGTGTCTGGGAGTGCCGGGATGGCTAATGATACATGTTGATGTGTCTCTGCAGGCACGGGGATCCTGTCTCCGCTGCCCGAGGAGAACCCTCACTGGTGGAATGCCAACATGGTGTAAGTTGACGCGTGTTTGTTGGCGTTTAATTTGTAAGGCTGACTGTTTCTTTGCTGAGATTTTTTTTTTGCAGTGCATGTACGGGAAAAGATCAACAACAGGCCAATGAAAAGTTTCGTACAGTTTTAATCTAATGTGTGTCTGTGCAGGTTCATCCCGTACTGCTCGAGTGATGTGTGGAGCGGTGCTACAGCCAAAACAGAGCAGAGTAAGATCTCACTCAGTTATCACAGCTGATATATCCTGCTGAAGATGAGTGTTTTCCAACAGCTCTTCTCTCTTTGTGCCGTATCTAGATGGTTATGCTTTCATGGGCTCGCTGATCATTCAGGAGGTCGTAAAAGATCTGCTGAATAAAGGTCTGGACAACGCCAAAGTTCTCCTCTTAGCAGGAAGCAGGTATGACAAAATCCCCTCTAACTATCCCACACATTTAAGGAAGCGGTTACTAAAAGAGTGTTCGGTGTTTATGTGCGCAGTGCTGGTGGTACCGGCGTCCTTCTGAACGTGGATCGTGTTGCAGAGCTGCTGGAGGGACTGGGCCACACTGGGATCCAGGTGCGAGGACTGTCTGATTCCGGGTGGTTCCTGGACAACAAGCAGTACCACTGCACAGACTGCGTGGACGCCGTCAGCTGTGCCCCGACTGAGACGATCAAGAGAGGCATCAAGTATGAGAAACAGAAAAGAAATATGATATTATGTTTGGATTTTAAGAAAGAAATCATTCAAAGTTCCATAATGCATGAATATGGGCATGACTCTGTAGTGGGAATCACCGTATGGGCTTAGAATCATATCCAAAAACAATCATCAGTGCGCACAATTTGTCCCCGCACCCAGAAATGCAGGTTTAAACAGCTCCATGCAAAGAGGAAACCACATGTAAACATAATCCAGACACGCCTACAGCTTCTCGGAGAGGAAGCGGAAAAGTGTCCTGTGGTCTGACAAATCAAAATCTGATATTCTTTATGGAAACCATGGACGCAGCATCCTCTGCCCTAAACAGGAGGACCACCCAGTTTCTCGTCAGTGCGCACTTTCACAACCAGCATCTGTAACATGTGCTGCCGACAAGATGGTTAATTTTTCACACAAGACTCCAAATACCGTTTTGCATGCATTTACAACAGCATGGCTCGGAAGTAGAAGAGTCCAGGTGCTGAATTAGTCTTCCTGCAGGGTCAAAATCAAGCATCAAGACCCTGAAACTGGTCTCCGAAGTTTCCCCACATTTATAGTATTCTTTAAAAAAGTGATGCAGCACATTGGTTATTTACGAAAATGTCTCTGGTAACAGATTAAATGACTTTAAAACATCTCAACTGTCGTATTTTAGAGAGAAGCTGATGTAGATGTTTTCTCTTTTGTGCTTTTTCTACCTGCTCCGTCAGGTACTGGGGAAGCGTGGTGCCAGAAAGGTGTAGGCAAACCCACGAAGGAGAGGAGTGGAACTGTTTCTTCGGATACAGAGTCTTCCCATCGATAAAAAGTGAGTGTTCTGGTGCGGAGGTAAAACGCACACACATACACTGCGCAGGGCTAATTTTAGTGTGCTTCACCAACAAATCTGTCCAATCCTAACACATCTGCGTGACACATGTTTGAAACGATGGGCTGAATTTGGACCTGTTGTTATGTCTCTTTTATTCTCCGTGTGCAGGCCCTGTGTTTGTCGTCCAGTGGCTCTTTGATGAGGCCCAGTTGACGGTGGACAACATTCAGCTGACAGGTCAGCCGGTGCAGGAGGGACAGTGGCGCTACATCCAAAATCTGGGCATTGAGCTGAGGAACACACTCAAAGACGTCCCGTAAGACCACGAATCTGCATAGGGAGCGAGAAATTTGGGAAGAATTTGACGTAGATCGGTTAATTTATGTTTTTTTTTTCTTTAAAATTTCAGGGCGATGTTTGCTCCAGCCTGTCTATCACATGAAGTCATCACCAGGAAGTGAGTATATCTTAAGGGTAAAGAGTGAAATTAGGTTATTAGTTCTCAGAAACACTATTTTTCCCTTTGAGGTTTTCAATCTGTGAGCTAACAGCGCCCTCTTGTGTTCACTCCCAGTTACTGGATTGATATACAAGTTAAAGGCACCTCCCTGCCCCGAGCGCTGCACTGCTGGGACCGCAGCCTCCACGACAACCGGAACAACAAGGCCCCGCCCAAAGGCTGCCCTGTACATTTGATTGACAGCTGCCCGTGGCCGCACTGCAACCCCACCTGTCCCACCATCCGAGACCAGTTCACAGGACAGGAGATGAACGTCATTCAGTTCCTCATGCACATGGGCTTCGACGTGCAGAAGATGGCCCAGCAGCAGGGCATGGACCCCAGCAAGCTACTGGGCATGCTCAGCAGCGGCAGCTAAGGGGACACGCGTTACACACAGCATCTCCAAGCTAACGCTAAGCAGGGCCGACTAGTCTCTCTGTCCGGTCTCCCCTGCCTGATACCTCCAACTCATACTCCATCTTCACAACCCATCCTACCTTTTAGTCTAGTCCGCTCTGACCTCAGTCAGACACAGGGGGCTAGATTTGTCCCACAATCCCTTTCCTCGCAACCGGTGTTAAATACAGGGGCAACATGCCACCACGACAAGGCACAACTCTCGGCTACTCTGCTTAAATTATCTTTTGCTCTGTAAAAGGAAAAATAACTCGAATGTAATCCAGTTTTAAGGATGCTCATTGATATGTTTTTGAATATTATTTTCATCTTTCCATATAGATTCTATTTAGTCATTGTCAAGAGAGAAAACGCCACAATGACGCACGAATGCTGTTTTTTAAGTAGTCACTCGAGCTTATGAGGGTGCTTATAACATCTCATCACACAAAAACATAGGTTAAAGCAGATACAGGTTATTAAAAAGGCACTAGATTACTGTTAGATTTTGTACTTGTCTCTCAAGCAAAGCCAAGAAAATTAGGAAGAGGCGTTTGATATAAATATACGGAAGCCCAGAGCAGCCATGCTTGCATTCATTTATGCAAACTATCCCCAAAAAGTTGTTAAAGTGACTTTTTTCACCTGAAGTCAGGTGTAATGAAAAGAATCAGGATTTACATTATTAGAAAAGTTTTCTTTTGTCTTAAATAACTTTGGGTATCCCAAAGTGGCCATCTGTCTGTCATGCTAGATAGTGTCATCGTCTCTCACTGCTGCGTTTCAGGTCATATCTCATGTAAACTCCAGTCATCTGTGATCGTTTCACTGTTCCTGGATTGATAAGCAGCCGCACAGACAATGGACAGTGAAAATCTATGCAGTATGGTGGCCGAGAACCGCCACTGCTGCAAATAAAAAAAAAGAATGCAAAAAAAAGAAGTCACAACCGAAGTTACATATGCACAAAAAAAAAGAAAGAAATGGTGCAGGAAAAAAAAAAGCCACAACGGAAGTAAACGACACAAAAACTTTTGCATCGGTAACTAAAGTTGTGGCTTCTTTTTTTTTTTTTTTGCATTCTTTTTTTATTTGCAGCAGTGGTGGTTCTCAGCCACCGTAGCACAATGATCAGGCTGCATTATCAGCACATAAAAAAAAAAAAAAACATATAGACAAAAACATATAGACAGCCACAGCCCGACTCCACAAATGCATTACCTTGAGCAAAATGATATTTTATAGCTGACTATATTAAAAGCCCAAAGCAAAATGTTGCTGTCTAAGCCCTCTAGCTTACTTCAACCGATGTTAGCTGATAGGCTGTGGTCTGATCTCTCCAAATTTTCAGATAGTTAATATGACTCATGACCTGTAACACTGTAGGAAGTGTTTTTAACATTGGAGCTTCTTACCTCTATAGCCCTGACAGATGACCCCTTAAGGAAATATATCCACTCCCCTGGGGAAACGAGTATTATTATCTTAAGAAAACAAACATTATTAAAAGTTTTATACATGCAAGCCTGGCTGTTTGAGGCCTCTCCAGTACTCGCCAACTCCCTTGTGGTTGTGGGTTGTGTTGGCTTAACACAGTTGTTTATTTTCAGGCTACTGACATTAAATCTGCATGCAAATATCAGAAAAAAATCCCTGTTATAATCACTGTCAGAAAGAAGAAAAAGCATGCATTAACAGAGGATATCTCCTTTATGTGATTCATCCCCCACAGCTGAAAAGCTGCGCCTAATTTCTTTATTTCGTTTTCCTGGCTGTGAAGACGCCGTTATCGCCCAGTTTAGATGTTTCCTGAAACTGTGGTGCTAAAAGTCGACCTGGAGACTACTTTAGGGTCTGTTAGTACCTTCTTTTACACCAAGGTGCCATAACATCTAGTCTATACCTCTTTATTATTAGTCTTATCATCACAAAACGACTGTTCAGCCCGATCACAGGGCGCACGCTCATCTTTAACCTCAGTAGTTCAGCAATCCTCAGATCAATGCAATGAACATTTAAAGGGAGACAAATATCGTGTATTGTATATTTTTTTTTGAGTATTTGTATAGGTTCTTTCAAGTGTTCACTATTGTAACTCCCTTCTTATATTTCATAATAGAGATCACTTTTTAATATAATGACAATGTTGTATGTAATGATGTCTTTATAAATGATGTTTTTAAAGGACCTCTATTTCGCATCACTCCAGAGAAGGAAAGGTATTACTAATTGTAATTTTATTCTGTAACATATTTTTTAACGGAAAAGAAAAACTCAAGCTACATTGGTAATTTACATATTTATTTTGTTATGTAAATCATATTTATAAGTGCTATTTTCACAGAGAAGTGATTCTTTGTAAATTGTAAATACATTGCTGTTTTTCTCTTTGTGTTGATTGCATGTCTTTGTATCAGACGTAAAAGAAAAGACACATTACATATTCTTAAAAGTGGAGCCTGCTGTGTGATTGTTATCATTACTATTGTTTTTATCAGTGCGATTGCTCGAGTCTCTTCTTTTTTTTACGCCCACAGCATAAAAAGCAGGAGGCAAAGTCAACCTCTCCCTCGGGCTCAAAACACTGTCATGATTTTGACATATCAGATAAAAGATATGAGGCTTAGTGGCAGCTAAAGGTTTTTCAACACCTGAGAAAATGTTGATCTCCAAAAATAGAAAAACAAATAGAGATTTTACATTCAAACAGAAATCAGCTAAGCCGAGCTATAATACAGTTTACCGCCAGGACCAGTTTGGTGCTAAATTAGTCTTTTTGGCGGTGCAATGTGAGGAGTTTTAAAACTAAAGCTCCTGTGCGATGGCCATAAAAATATTAAAATCAATACTCAAAGCTCTGTTTAAGTAAATATCAGCAGCAATGAGTTAATAAGTTCTGTGTTGCTACAATAAAAACCTTAAATTTTTCTGCAACAAATGTTCTTAATTAAATGATGAACTAAACTGTCAAAAGAGAAAAGAAGTAGATTCTTTGTTTTTAAAGAAATAAATAACATGTGTAAATGAGACATCAGCATACAGGAAGGTATAGTTTTGTCCACAAGAGGGCGCCAAAATCGACACAATTTAAAGTTCCCCTCGTCAGGTTTACATTCATTTAGACTGGAGGATTAAAAGACTAAGCTGCACAAGTTTAGTCATCTATAATAAACTCTATAGTCAGTATCAAGTTTAGTAGTCAGGTGATATTGATTTGATATTGATCAGTCAATGGATGATATATAATGCTGATATTACATTACTGTTGTTATTATGGTTATTTTTTTCATATAACAAGCTCCAACGGTAACACTTTACAATAACCATAATTTTTAAATGGTAAATAGATAGTTTATTAATGTAAGTTAATAGTTACTTTACAATTAAGAAGCAATGAAATTATGATTTATAATTTTTAATTAATTATCAATGGACTGTTTATTAAAGGTTTATATAGGGTTTAATTATTGGTTGTAAAACATCTAGATTAAAATGTGTGTCAGTAGCACTTTGTAAATGGTTAATATTTGGTTTTAAACCGTCGATAAACTTTACTTAGATGGTTATTGTAAAGTTGCAATTGATGTTTGTAATACTTTGTAAATGCTTAATAAGTGGTTTATAAACCATCTATAAACATTACTTATATGGTTATTGTAAAGCTAGGGTTAGGTTTTTAAAATTGTAAATTTTACAATTTATTAATGGTCTATATGCTTTTTATAAATGATGATTAAACATTAATAAACTTTTTACCAATTTATAAGTTATGGTTAATGTAAAGTGCTATCCATACAACATTTAATTCACATTAAAATTCAATATATGTAGCTATCAGAGTCAGTAATATTAGATTAGATGGGTTTTAATTAGTTCATAAAAGGTTATGCTTTTAGATTCGGAGAGACTGATTGTTGTATGCAACATTAAACTTCATTATAGCATACATCACAGAATAATTTAGAATTGAATAATTTATAATAAACACCAGCCACTGTTTTAGATTTGAAATGTTATCATTGAGGATCAGACCCACTCTGATCCTATCTTCAACCACATGAGTGTGACACTTGGCTGCATTTAGTAAGTTACAGTGGAGAGGGAAAACTTCCTTTAACAGGCAGAAACCTCGAGCAGAACCAGACTCATGTTAGAGAGTTACCTGCCAACATTGTGATGAAACTAAGCACAGGTGACGGATATCACATAGCAGTGTGGAGCACTCACTGCAACAAGAATGAGAAATTTAAAAGCTACACATTCATATCTTAAGCAAATTCAAAAAGTTTTACAGTGTTAAAATGTAAAAAGTCCACATTTTGACACCTCAAATGATGTCAAAACTAAAGGTGGTGGTTTCCTCTCAGAACCACCTTGTACCCTGTAAGTCAACAATCACAGCATCAATATATCACAGGTTTTTTAAGTATTTTAAGTAACTACTAATCTGTTTCCACATGCATCACACAAATCTATCATCACTGGTGCATAATCATCCCTCTGGACCTGTATGTAATTTCTGTCTCTAATGGGAGTCTTAGCCTCTTCCTCCCTGTCATTACGCTGCGTGTAAATGCCAGTTTCTCACTGAGGGAGCTCTGACTCAGCCTCTCTGGGTGCTCCCTAGAAATACGACTCCCATGCTGCCCGCCACATGCAGCCTCCCACCCCTCTGTGGAATATAGACCCCCTATTTTTAGAGCTGGCGAGGCCTGTAACCCTGGGCTCGGCACAAACTTTCTTTTAAACAGTCACCCCTAGCAATCCAGCGAGTGCACACACACTCACACACACAGGGACAGGAGGGAGAGGGTGTGTGTTTGTGTGAGCCGGAGAGAGTGGCAGACGAGCTCGGACCCGTAGACAAAGAGCAAGAGAAGACATTTGGGAGTTTTTGGACTTGAGATATTATCAGGATATGTCTCTGAGTAATGGAACTTGACTGACGGAACAACAAATGAGTCCACCTGTTCGTGTCTGAGGGCTGTTGTTGGAAGAATGATCTCTTGATGTGACTTTAGGAGGACTACACTTGGAATTGATGCACTGGACAGCTTTGTGATCGAAGAGGACAAAGATTTTGGAGGACAGGTACAACAGTTTTGAGTAAGAGCTGGATCAAATTCATTAAATCCATGATTTCTTGGAAAAAAATCAACAAGAACAAGCTCTAGTGTTGAAGAAAGTGGTTTAAAGATTTAGGCAGCCAGGTAGAGACTTTAAATTTGCAAAGAAACAAAAACTTTGCAATCAATAAAGCGTTTTATTCAAAGGTTTCGGTACTCAGCCTTCACTGTTACAAGCTTCAAGCGCCTGCGAAACAGTGTATGTGACCCTATCACACCACTGTAATTACAAGGCGAGCTCGAGGAAGACTTACAGACATTTGTAATTAAGGATCTTCTAAAAAAAGGCAACCAAGACCAGGGTGAGGTCTGTGACCCAAGACAAGAGTGGGCTGAAGGACACCGAGACTTAAAACAGAGACATCAAGAACCCCGACAAGGAAAAACAGCTGCCTCTGTCAGACAACAGAGACCATGGATCCTCATGGAGGACACTACCTCAACAAAGACGCTGTGCTGTCACCTTTGGGTGCAGCCCGAATGTGCCAGCTGCTGCTTGGTTGCACCATAATGGCCCTTGTGTCCCACAGTGCGGGCTACAGCGCCACCTATGGAATCTTCTGCATGTTCGTGTGGTGCTTCTGCTTCGCCGTCACGCTGCTTGTGTTCACCTTGGATATTACACGGCTCCACGCCTGCATGCCCATTTCCTGGGATAACTTCACTGTGGCCTTCGCAATGTTGGCAACACTCATGTACATCACGGCCTCTGTGGTCTACCCGGTTTACTTCCTCCAAACAGAGTGTCCCGATGAGGACTGTGAAGTCCAAATGTACCGAATCGCTGTCACCGTCTGCTCCAGCGTGTGCTGCTTCCCCTACGGCGCTGAGGTGTTCCTCACCCGAGCCAAACCAGGCGCCGTGGTGGGCTACATGGCCACTGTGTCCGGCCTACTCAAGGTGGTGCAGGCGTTTGTGGCCTGCATCATATTCGGAGCCCTGGCAAATGACAGCGAGTACAACCTCTACATCGCCACTCAGTACTGTGTGGTGGTGTACAGCCTGTGCTTCTCCGTCACAGTCATAGTGGTGGTACTGACGGTTTCTGGGAGGACCTCTGCCCTGCGGTTCCCATTTGACCGGTTTGTGGTTGTGTACACCTTCTTCGCTGTGATCCTATACCTCAGCACCGCACTGGTCTGGCCTATCTTCAGCTTTGACAGGAAGTACGGAAACACGACTCGTCCTGAGGACTGCCCACGGGGGGACTGCCCCTGGGACAGCAAGCTGGTGGTGGCAGTTTTCACCAACGTTAATTTGATCTTATATTTTGTCGACCTTGTTTACTCCCAGAGGATCCGCTTTGTCTCCAGCTCTGGTGTCTGATCAACCTTCAGACTGATTAGGGAAGTCAGAGGTCGGATTCACCATGATCCCAACAATCTGGTCTCTCTGTGAATGACTTCCTCTTTTATTCTTATCCCTGTGTGACATATTTAATTATCAGTATTTCTTTTCAGAGACAGTATTACCCAATGCTACAAAGTTGGAGGCCTAATTTAACTTCAGCTGTGACCTACCTGGGAGATCCTGCCAGATGAGCTGATAATGAGCTGACCTCAGCAACTTTCTGCACAGAGGATCCTGTGAATGCTCATCTCAGCACCTAATACACCCCAATGCACTAAAATCCTGTGGTGGTCCCAGGCAGGTCTGAGCTTCATATGAGAGTGGGGAATACTGAGAATATCATCAGTGTTATGACAGTCAGACTTACAGAGGCTTTATTTAAGTATGTATTATGTATCTAAAGTAGGTGGAAATGTATATCACACAGCTTGTGCTAAGTCTGCAGTATGCACTGAACATAGCTTCAGGTTTTAATGCCTTTTCTATTTTTTTCTTTCTATTTTGTATTCATAACCACACGTGTGTGTACTGCCTAAAGTTTAACTTTATGAGGCCTTTTCTGCCCCCTGCTGAATGTCAAGTGTATCTGATACACGGATTTTAAGGGGAAATTCAGACAACAGTATTACATTTGATTAATTTAGATTTAAGCACAAGTAGAGTTTGTATCTCTCTTTAATATGACTTTGGTATTGTCTGTGTTTAATAAAAGAAACACTGTAAAAAAAAATGATGTTATTGTTTTACATTTGGGTTTCTGTTGCTTTGTGTTAAAGGTTCAGTGTGCGGTATTTGGTAGAGCAGACTTGGTAGAAATTGATTTTTTGATTCATGAATTACTTAAAGCTCCTTCGAGGAGTTTTTACAAAATGTTTTTCTATATGATTCAAAAGCAAACGAGAACATCAGGGACAAGATTAACCTTTGCATATTGCCGTATTTGACGAGGGGGTGGGTGTCAGCTGAGCAGTTGAAGAAACAGCCTTGCTTGTACAATTTCCTCATTAAATTTTCATGATAAATGATAAATTTGACGGTCAAAAGTCAAAAGACAATACATATGAAAACTGCATCTGGGCACCAAAGTTGTCACAGACCGAAAGATCCTCATTGGAACTTTAATTTGGAATAAAAAAATTGTTTATGTTCACTTCAAATGAGCCTTTTTATATCTACATAAGAGTTGGATTTTTCTACATTTTTATACCATGGCCCAGAATAAACAATCTAGAGAGTAGCCATGTGAGACTCATATTTGTAGGATAAACAAGTAGATATTGGCTGTTTTGCAGAAAAATAATATGTATTGATTAACATCATTGATGATAAAAATTGACGATTATACTTTTACAGTAGCCGCTTGTCCATAAAGGCCACCATTGCTTCACTGAAAGGTGGGGTGAGCAAGGGAGCAGTGCAGAATCTGACTGTCCCTTTAAGATATTACACTTTAAATTTGAATATGATCAGCTGGCTACACTTGATTTGTAACTCTGTTGGTATCAAGAAGACATTCAAGAGTTAAGTGTAAAAAGTTGTAAAGATTTAGATTTGCTATGGTACCTTGGAGACTTTTTCATGTTTTTAAAACACACTTAAGTTTTGCAATCTTGTTCAGGGTGGGTCTATTTTAGCAGAAAGTTGTCTGTACCAGTTTCGCCAGTAGATGACAGTAAAGTACAAACGCCCTAAAAACTTTTCTGCCCCACGGCACAAGTTGATGCAACTGGCTTTTCCGTCTCTGCAGAACCCGCCCCGAATCTGTGGATCCTGTCACTCTGATTGGTTAAATCTGTCATATTTTCACAACTCCTATAACCTCATTGGCTCCCTCTTGTGTCAGTCAAATCACGCTCAACAGGTACAGTGCAGTAAGAGACAGTCGAGCCACGTTGCCTGTGCTGCAGTGATAAAGAGAAGAAGCTGTTTGTTTTCGGTCAGTTTACAATCTTTCCTGTTTGTTTGTAAGTTTTTAACTTATTTTATAGTTCAGTGTGTCTGCTCTTGTCGCGTGTCGAGAAATGTCGTTTGCTTCCCCTTTAATAAGGAAGTGTTTTTGTTTACTTCTGTTGCTCAAAGAAGTAGAAGCCAAAGTCTCACCTGTTGTCCGACTTTCTGTTTGATGTTTTCAGCCCTCAGGTAGAATGAGCGTGGGTTTCATAGGAGCGGGTCAGCTGGCCCACGCTCTTGTCAGGGGCTTCACTGCTGCAGGTGAGTTGAATCATACTGTACCTTGTATGGAGGTCTGTTATTGCAAGTTGTTGATGTATGCTGATTGCAATCAGGTACTGATATGATTTATGAACATATTCCCCCCCTTCAAGGCGTGATTGCCACCCACAGGATCACAGCCAGTTCCCCGGACACAGATCTTCCCACAGTACAGGGGCTCCGGGTGGGTTGACTATAAGGGACGGGCAGGCCCATCAGTAATGACCTGCTTTATCTGCAAACTATTTTAGTCACACATTCAGAGAATTCATCTCACTTTTAATGGATTCAAACCACAATTCCTTCCAGTAGAGCAATAAATTGTATCATCTCTACAGAAATTGGGCGTCAATTTCACCACCAGCAACAAAGAAACGGTCAACAGAAGTGATGTTCTCTTCCTGGCTGTGAAACCAAACATCATTCCTTTTGTACTGGATGAGATTGGACCAGACATCGAAGATCGACATCTGATTGTGTCCTGTGCTGCAGGTGTCACCATCAGCTCCATAGAGAAGGTAAGAAGCAGGCAGCCTTAAGATTTCCCCAACCAGAACTTTATTATTGTGCAGTCTTGGGTCAGAAGAGGTGAACAAGAAGGACTTAAAGATTCAAGAGTTTGAGTTTATGTTATTAAAGCCGCTGTTGATTACATTCTTAAATCTTGGGCTCTGTTTCCCAATAAAACAGAGTATAAATATAGGAAAACTAAAATTAGAAGTTGTGACAAAAGTAACTAATGATTCTTGTAGAAAAGTCAGCTTGAAATGCTGCCTTTATTTATATTTATTATTATGCTGGTTTTGTTTACTTCATGGTATGTCTATAGTATAGCTCAGTGACCAATAAGTCAATTTGAAACTCTGTTTCTGCTTGATTTGTTGTTATTGTTATTGTTTTATTTTATTTTATTTTTATCAATTAATTAATTAATTATTTGTTTTCTTTTTTATTTTATTTTTATTCATTAATTTATTTATTTGTTGTCTTTTGTTTTATTTTAATTTTATTAATTAATCAATTAATTTGTTTTATTTTATTTTTATTTAGCTATTTATTTATTATTTATTTTGTTTTGATTTGTTTTGTGGTGAGAATGTTGCTCAGTGATAGATTATTAGAACAATCAGACTTTGAGTGAGGGGCAGGTAATATAAGATGTATCTTCTCCCTGCTCCCTTTCAACCAATTGATAAGAAATGTTGCAATGAGACATGATATTGTGAAGTTGAGAAATTGCCTTGGCTGGAATGAATAAAGAAAAAGAAAAAGAAAAATGAACAAAAGCTTAAAGTAAGTAAATGTTGAAAATCAGACATATACAGACTATCAGAAGAGTTCAGTAAATGAAAGGATTCAACAGATGTAGGAGGATGTGACATCCTGTAAGGCACTTACACTAAAGTGGTTGAATACTCTATAGTAGTGAAATGTGTGTTTATAAATCAACTGTTAATCAACTTTGATTCATGTAGGTATGATTACATTAAAATACAATCAAGGATCCTCTCAATACATTCAGCACATTGTCATCCATTCACAGAAGCTGCTGCAGTACCGACCCGATCCAAAGGTGATGCGCTGCATGACCAACACTCCGGTGGTTGTGCGTGAGGGGGCCACTGTGTACGCCACAGGCACCCATGCAGAGGTGGAGGATGGGAAGCTCCTGGAGCAGCTCATGGCCAGTGTTGGATACTGTACCGAGGTGGAAGAGGACTTGATCGATGCTGTGACAGGCCTCAGTGGCAGTGGTCCTGCCTATGTGAGTCATTTCTGTAAGAAGAATGTGTTTTAGTTTTGCTTCATTCCACGTGTGGAAATATGTCTCATCCTAATATTATAATTTTGGCTGTTCAGGCGTTTACAGCTGTGGATGCTCTTGCTGACGGTGGAGTTAAAATGGGCCTGCCTAGAAGATTAGCTGTACGCCTTGGAGCCCAAGCACTGCTGGTATTACTTATTCTTTTAAACATATATATGTATAAATTGATGCACAGGCTTTCTCAGGCGTTTGATACCTGCAGGGGGTTAGAGAGAGTTTAATTCCAAGTTTTTGTGCTTTGCAAGTTGGTTTTAAAAACCAGGCGTGTTTGCTTTGTCTTTGCATACAGGGCTGTTATATCACTCCCATCCATAGAATATTATGCATATGACATAGATAGTCTTGACTCACTTATTCCAATACAAAGAGTTATACAAACACTGTCCTTGCAAATGTGAAAACACTTTTTGTCATTTTTGCTGCAGTCTGTGTCTGTTTTGTGTAAGCTCAGTATGTGTATGCACATGTTGATTATGACAGGACAAATACTATGTGAGTCTAATGTGTATTTTTCTCTGTGTCCCTTTTAAAGGGGGCTGCTCGAATGCTGTTAGACTCAGAGCAACACCCCGGACAGCTCAAGGACAATGTGTGTTCACCAGGGGGCGCCACCATCCACGCCCTGCACGTCATGGAGAGTGGCGGCTTCCGCAGCCTCCTGATCAATGCTGTGGAGACGTCCTGCGTGAGGACGAGGTGAGTTGATAAGAAAAGTGTGTGACAAACAAAACAACAAATCATATTTGCTGTCACGGGGATACACAACAAATGCTTTTAAGTTAATTGTCATATTCAAATGGCCAAGCTGTGATTTATTCCTCTCATGTGTTTTATTTAGACAGTAGATGGAGCTATATGCAAGAGAGTTTTGTTATCTGGTAATAAGTTGCCTAGAGATAAGCTTATTACTGTACCAAAGTATTGTGTTAAATATGTGTGTTTCATGCAGTATTGGAAACCTCTGTTCCTTCTCTTCTTCATAAAGGGAACTTCAGTTTTTGGCAGACCAAGAGAATATCTCAGCAGCAGCTATAAAGAAGACCACCCTGGACAAAGTGTTGCAGCAGCCTGGAGTGACCGCAGAAACCATTGGAGTCAAAAATCGTGGGATCAGTCTTTTCAACAGTAGCAAGCCCAGAATGAATAAGAAGTGATAGTTTTTGGTCACATTTGGATATAACCAATTTATATAGTGTTACCTGTCACATCAGGGACATCAGCAGATTTGGTAGATGCTGTAAAGAACTACTGACAAGACAGCTTAAAGACAGTCAAGTGGGAAACCGCCTTTTCTTTTCTTTAAGACCTCAGGTTTTATATGGTTGCATACCTCCCTATTTAAAAAGACTGTGAAGTATTTAGCTACATTTTTCAGAACAGACTTGGTAAAAATGCAATAAAAGCTCAAATGTTTTGTTTCTATCCACTTATAGTGAGCCTTTATTACGATCCTCACCAGCTTTGTAAGGGTCATTCATGTTTTTGTATTTTGTGGATGGCAAATGCACCAACTCGAAGATGAATAATAATCAATTGGTTAGTTTTGCACACAAAATTATTTCTATTAATATTTCTATTTGATATAAAAATGGAGGAGGAAATTGTGCATCACTCATGCTTCTGGTCCTCAAAGGCCACCGTCATTCAGGGGCGAGCAGGGGAACATCTCAATCTAGCCTGACCGCCAGGTATTGCGAGGTATTCCTGTATGTACGCACTGTACCTTAAAGGATTGAATCCTGTTTTACCGCTTCTTTTCCTGGTGAGTTATTCAAAAGGTGTTATAGAAATAAGTGTTGGTGATGATGTGGCATTTAGTGGGTTTAATGGTCATGATTTTGTGGAAGTGGTTTAAAGGGATATTAAATAGCAGTCTGCAACCTTCACCTCTCCAGGGGGTGTCTAACTCGGTGTTAAGGTGTGTTTGACCCTAGCTTAATTTTACACTGAAATATCCCTTTAATGACCAACTTATGAATAAGCTAATCATTTTTGTAACTCCAAATGCTTCATTTTGTAAAGCAACAAAACTGTAAAACTGTTTTTTGAGTCTTTTTATTAAATATTTACAAAAGTTATTGTGATTTCGTTATTCGTATGACACAGCTTAGGCGAAAAGCAGAGTTTTCAGACAGTTAAAGGTAAGAATTTAGACAACTTTTTGGGTTAAATTTGTTTTTCTCAGTGTGAGGAAAGAGGAGCCCTCATGAATGAAGGCACGTGACCAAACACGATGACGTCTGGCTTCGATACAAGAGAAAGGAATCAACAAGGAGAGCACGAGCTGGCATTTGGAAGCGCTGCCCTGCTTCTGTCAGTGAAACCGACATTTTTACTGCCTCTAGTGTTTGGTCACCGCCGCGACGGCCCCAGAAGAAGACCTTGACGGCGGCGACTTCATTTTAAAAGTCAGGTGGGTCTGTAAACCAAGCAGAGTCGGCGGTGTTGTTATGCTGAGTGTGCATGCCTTCGCCCCGCCGCTGACAAGCTCCTCTCACTTAGCTTCACGGGCTAGCATACCGAGCTTGTTACATTAAACCTCGTCAAGTTGGCTGTATTCACCATGGAGTTGATTTTCAAAGTAAAAGCATCCGCTGAACGTAGCCCGCTTCTTAAAACGCCTTCACGCTGTAACTGCTTTTATTGTGAAGGCGCAAACCGGAAGCAGATTTGCAGCCGTTGGGCGCTGACACCCGTCGGGCTGCTACTATGCTGAGATGGCAGCTAATCTTTTGTACACACTCGTGAGCTGTGAATAAAACGTGTCACTGAGATTGTGTGTTTTATTTAACACAGCAGGCAGCCGTTTCGAGTGAAAACGGCAATTCCCCACATTGAGAAATCGTCCGCGGTGCTGTAATGCCACAGTTGTAGTAGGAAGGCTGAGCACGGGGATTTCCTCGCTTGCTTGTTTTGTAGGCGGGGAGTTGTTTGCCACTTTCACAAGCGGCGCGTAGAGAGGGAGAAGGTTGGAGACCCCGGAGAGTCTCGGAATGTCCAAAACTGTGTGACCGAGGTCGCTTTTTCGGTGATAAACACTTCGCAGCGACGTGTTGTGCCCTCCGTATCAAAGCGCTTCTTCTCGCTGGTTTGTCAACTCATGCGCTTCTTGCTGCTCAAACCTGCTGCTTCATCACCTCGTTGTGAAGAGGAGCAAGAGCGAGCCGAGACAGCGGTTTAGCGAGATCAGGTTGGATTTCAGCTTTTCTCATGGCATTTCTGTGTGTGTTTTTACATCTTTTTAAAAAATTGCATTTAATTCATATTTGGCTTTTTAATGCATGCATGTATTTGATCTTTTGGGTAAACGCTTTTAAACCACCGTTTCGTGCTGAATTGGTTCACCTGAAGTGACAATTCATTTAACCACTGGTTACATTGCAACAATGGCAGTGCCAAAGCAAAGCTGCCGTCCTAGGCTTTAACAGCACAGTTAACCACTGTATTTCTTTCTTTTGCCATGATCAAAGCAAACAAACAAGCAGCAGCGGTATTTTTATCGTGCTGAATCATCACAATGATGTATTTAGACGTTCTCAGAATCCACCCCGAAATATGGCACCACCGGACAAAGGTCTGCTCGCTGGATAAGGGTCGATGTTTATCAGCAAAGCCGCCGTTATTATTTAAGAGATGGATCGAAATGGTGCTGATCTGTCGTGCAAGACAGTCATGAAGCCATGAGCATCAAGTGATGACCATCATGCATTTATCAATAGCCTCATCTACATTCAGCTGAGAATGTGCATTTTATTGCAGTGCTGTCATGATGTACATCAACAAACGGGCTGTGAGTACATCCAGACTAAGTGCTTAAGTGTCAACTGTGATGTCAAATCCATTTAAAAAATGCATGATAAGCAATATATTACGCCTGTGTTGTTATAATGGAGTCCTGTAATGAGTGGCTGTTTAAATTGGGTCATGTGTAATTATAGGATGAATGGAAGTTGAAAACAACATCTTATATAGGTGCTCGTTTAGATAAAAATGATAAAGTATTTTGGTGCCTAAAATGTGCTCTCAATTTAAAGCCTTGATGGTTTGCTTCTGACATTATTTACACAGTCTAACATGTCATTTCTTTTATTTTTGGGGCTGGCAGATGCTCTTGTTCCCTGTGTGTGACATGATGAAATTTGCTGCCTATTAGAGTGCACGCTTATGGAGGGCAGGTAATGAATTATCCATGGAGAATCTCAGTGTAATTTGAAAAGTCACCTTGGAAACTGTTGAGCATATATCGGCGGGGCTAAACAGATAGAAGTTGCCCATTCTTGCTCAGATATCCAACTTATTTCATCATCTCTGTTCATGCGAGCAGGGCATTGAAGTGTGTTTAGCAGACAGGCCAGCCCCACATCAGAAGCTCGGCTTTGCAATAAAGCGTAATGCCCATCTCTGCCTTTCTCTGCAGGTAACCAGAACAGATGAGGGCCCATATAAGAGCCCGATGGGGCTGGCAATGGTGTGTGGATGGAGACAGGGAGTGGTGGAGCTCAGCTCTTAGATTTATTACCTCCTGCATTGAGGTAGCGATGATAAAATAAGGCTGGATACCGTAGAGGTGAACCGAGTGCACAACTCATACCCAGTGGCGTTGCTTAGAATGGGCAGGCGGTAGAGGGTAGAAGAGGATATATGAGGTTGATGAAACAGGAGGCAAGACTTTACACAGCATAGACTACAGTCTGGCCACCAACACCTCTGTATGGCCGACACAGCTGAGCCTTGGGAGTAGTTACGCCTATTCAGGACAATTAATAGCCTCAAGAAATGAACACAAATGTGGGATTTGTCCACAAAAGTGCTGCTTAAGCTGCACGGGGAAATGGGAATGCCTGCAAGGAAGGGAGAAAAAGATCAATATAGTTTTTTTCCCCTCTTTTTGCAATGGGGAGGGAATGCTGGTGATGAAACCTCTTGCAAGTGTAGTGCGGATTATGATTGCTTAGCATTGCGATATGCCCGCTCCACTTCTCAAAGTAATACTTTCATCCAGCAGACAGGGTAGCAAGTGTGTTTGATGAATTTCTGTTAGGAACTCGAGTTAAACTTGGCATGTTCATTACTGCTCTCTGTGTGTTCATAATTTAGATTAGCCAGTATCCCAGCGAACATGGAGAGCAGAAGCGTATAGAGCCGTGCGCTTGCCGCAGTTTTCCATGTAACCTACTTTTATCTCGGTTGATTGATGTTTAACACCCATCAACTGTGATTTGACATAAAAAAACAAGTCTTTAATCGTACATATATTTGCACAAAGAGACACTGACAAAGTGAAACTCATTAATGATGCAAGGGAGAAGTTTTCAGCTTTTGGATCGTTTTTCAAGAGGTTTAGAAGACAAAAAAGATGATATGTTCTGGGCAGGAGATAGGAGGTTAGAGGGAGTGAGACCTCAGGCAGATAATGAAACTGAGTTTAGCACTGCTTGCGTTGCTTCTTGATAACATTCATAGGATTTTTGTAAATGATTGATGGATATCAAGTAAAAGCTTACAGTATTCATACCTACCTGATACATTTATGCAATATCTGCTGCATCTACAGAAGGGTTCAGCAGTCGTTAATTTTATCACTTGTCTCTGCAACCATATCCTGAACATGTGAAGGAACTATTTCTAAAAATTACCCCTGTCGTGCAGTCAGTGAGTGAACAGGTTTGCCTTCATTTACTCTCGACAAAAAAAAAAATCTCAGCTCATCTGTTGGTGAACACGCAGGGTGTTGCTGGGATCACACTTGTTATCTTACTCCGGCAAAACAATTTGTGCAACATACTTGTCATTACCTATTGAATCGTTCTGGTTCACAAAGCTTTAATTTAAGATGAGCAAATCTGAGGGACAGGAAAGAGATTGTGATGAACAGTTGAAAGTGAAAGAGAGAGAGAGAGAGAGAAAAAGGAGATTCTTGGTGTTAAACGCATGATTACTAATTTAGACTGTATTCCCGAGCGATATTAATGTGATGTATTTATTATTTTTTGGGGATGGTGAGTGTGGGACTCCATCAAATATCCTGTAGGCAGACATCATCAATCACTCGCCATAATTTGAGCTGAGCGGCGGCTGTGTTATTAATAGAAATTAGCATCTTTGTTACTTTCAGGTAATAAGTCTTGACTGCTAACTGCCTGCATTTGAATCAAAGCACTCCACAGGAGAAACAAGATGATGAATTTGTTTTCCTTCTTGTCTTTATTCAGTGTTGCTGCCGAGCTCTGTTTGTTTGATGTCCTTATCACAGAGTTGTGTTTCAACTGAAGATAATCCACCTCAAATCGTAGCGGTGCAGGGGCAACAATCAAAGATGTAATTAATTCGGAATTGTTTTACTTTAAATAGCATTAAAATGTGATAAACAGCTTTGGTTAAGCCCTCTGCGCTGAAAAGCTGTGTTGTGGTTGTCGGGTCAGTGTAATATGTATTTAATATGTATGCAACCAGTGTAGTAAAGCTCCTAGATATTTTGCTCGTGTGTGGGTTGCTTGCAACCCTTACTTCCTCTGCCAGTGCAAGGCCGAAGTATCAAGAGCTATTCTCTTCCTGTTTAATCAAGTCCTCCAGGCAGATACTGTGGAAGGCCGACGAAGTCTCCTCTCCTGTCCTACTGCTTGCACTAAAAGAGCATCTCTGAGTGTAAACAGCAGCTACTGAGCGCCAAAATAGATTCTATATGTATCGAAACATTAGTTAATGCAAACCAGTCTAACCCAAGTCCTTTTGAATAAGCCTCACATTATCAGTGACTTCAGAAAATACTAAATCCCTCGAGGGTGGTGATTCATGTTTTCACTTTAAACCACATGAACTGGATGCAAATTCGAGACATAAATGTGCCACATGCTCTCTGCAAGCATATAACCGACCGAGTTCCATATGGGGCTTTTTCAGAGCCAGTAATTTTTTTTTTTTTCACAGAACATCATGTTATGCGGTCTATTTCCAACTCTATAGATATAATTAAAATGATCAAATGTATTTTGAAAAATCGGGAGTGTGGCGCATGAGGAAGCAAAATAAAGTAATGCACAGATTTTATTTTTTCCACGTGTATCAACAACGAGTCAAG